TTTGGGGTCCCGCTCGTCACACTAGTCACTCAGGTTTTTCTTATTTTGTTACCTTTGTTGATGATTATTCAAGGATGACTTGGTTGTTTTTAATAAAAGACCGTTCTGAACTGTTTTCCATATTTCAAATATTTTTAAAAGAAATTGAGGTCCAATTTGGGTGTGTTATACGCACTTTACAATCTGATAATGCTATGGAGTATGTCAAAGGTGCTATTTCTAATTTTTGTGACTCCCGTGGTATTTTGCACCAAACTTCTTGTTCTTATACTCCTCAACAAAATGGCGTAGTTGAACGGAAAAATAGGCATTTAATTGAAATAGCTCGTACATTGATGATACATATGCATCTTCCAAAAGCATTTTGGGGTGATGCTGTTTTAACTGCTTGTTATTTAATTAATCGTATGCCATCTTCCGTTCTTAATTGGAAATGTCCTTACTCCTTTGTTTTTCCTACTTAACCATTATTTGCATTGCCGCCTCGTGTTTTTGGGCGTGTGTGTTTTGCTCACATATTATGTCCTGGCGCTGATAAATTGTCTCCTCGTGCCATTAAATGTGTCTTTATTGGATACTCTCGGACTCAAAAAGGTTATAAATGCTGGGATCCTAGCACTCATAAGGCTTTTGTGTGCATGGACGTTACATTTTTTGAGGATACTCCTTATTTTTCTTCACATAGTTCGTCTTTAGATACCGAGCTGCTGCTTCCGTTACCTGTTGTGTCAAATTCATTACCCTGTGATCCACCACAATCACCTCATGTGCCACCGCCTCTTCAAGTGTATAGCCGTCGATCACGAGTAGCCCCCCCCCCCCCCCCCCCCCCCCAATTGTCTACTTCTATTGAGGCTCCTCCCGCTACTGATGATCTTCCTATTGCATTACGTAAGGGTGTTCGCTCCTGTGTCACTGCACACCCTATATCCAACTTTGTTTCCTATAAAAAGGTATCGCCCTCATTTTCTTGTTTTTTATCCACGTTATCTGCTACTGCTGTTCCAAAAACTGTGCAGGATGCTCTATCTGATACAGCTTGGCGCAAAGCCATGATAGATGAAATGGATGCTCTTCATCATAATGGGACATGGGATCTTGTTTCCTTACCCCTCGGTTCCAAAACGGTTGGTTGTAAGTGGGTCTACACTATCAAATATCTCCATGATGGATCTGTTGAGCGATTGAAGGCTCGTCTTGTTGCAAAGGGATACACACAAACCTATGGTATTGATTATGATGAGACCTTTTCTCCTGTTGCGAAAATTTCTTCTATCTGAATCCTTATTTCTGTTGCCGCCAATCGTAATTGGCCATTGTTTCAATTAGATGTGAAAAATGCTTTCTTACATGGTGACTTACATGAAGAGGTTTATATGGAGCAACCACCTGGATTTGTTGCTCAGGGGGAGTCTCGTTATGCTGTATGTCGACTTAAAAAGGCCCTGTACGGATTGAAACAATCTCTAAGGGCTTGGTTTGGAAAATTCTCCGAGGCAGTACTTTCCTTTGGCCTTAACAGATGTGAGACAGATCATTCGGTATTTCACCAACATACTAAAACTGGCTTTATATTTCTTGTGGTATATGTAGATGATATTGTTATAACATGTGATAATTCTGACGGCATTGCAAAGTTAAAATTGTTCTTGCAGAATCGGTTTCACACAAAGGATCTAGGCAAACTCAAATATTTCTTGGGTATTGAGGTTGCTAGATCCAAGGAAGGTATAAGTCTATCTCAAAGAAAATATGTGTTGGACTTGTTAAAAGAAACAGGTATGTTAGGTACTCGCCCTGCTGATGCTCCTATGGACCCAAATATAAAATTATTACCTGATGAGGGTGATTTATTTGACGATCATGGCAGATATCGACGTTTAGTTGGGAAATTAATTTATCTCACTATCACCCGACCTGACATTTCATATGCAGTTAGTGTTGTAAGTCAGTTCATGAGTGTTCCTAGAGTACCACATTGGAATGCTGTTCTTCGAATTATTCGATATCTCAAACAAGCTCCAGGTTTTGGATTACTATATAAACCTAATGGTCATCTTAATGTGACAGGTTTCACAGATGCTGACTGGGCTGGTTCTCCCTCAGATAGGAAATCTACTACAGGCTATTGTACACTTGTTGGTGGAAACCTTGTTACATGGAAAAGTAAGAAGCAAACAGTTGTAGCACGGTCTAGCGCTGAAGCAGAATACAGGGCGATGGCCCATACCTCTAGTGAGTTAACGTGGATTCAACACTTTCTTGAAGAACTTGGGTTAATAGTCAAGACTCCTATTCCACTGCTATGTGATCACCAAGCAGCTATTCACATCGCATCCAATCCGGTTTTTCATGAAAGAACCAAGCACATTGAAGTTGATTGTCACTTCACTCGAGAGAAAATATTAAGTGGAAATATTTCTACTCCATTCGTGAAGTCTGAAGACCAACTAGCTGATATGTTTACTAAGGCTCTTGGTCCTAATCGGTTAAAAATAATTTGTTCCAAGCTAGGATTATATGATAAATATTCTCCAGCTTGAGGGGAAGTGTTGAAACACTTATATGTATATATGCATTCAGGTTGGGGTCTTATGGTAATTAGATATAGGGTTTGTGGCTGTTATGTAATTAGGCCTTTATTGTATTGTATTGTATATAAACTCTCCTTATGTTTTAGGGTTTGTATAATGAAAATATGAGAAGTTTCTCTCTTACGGTCTCTCTCTCTACAATATACATATCTTCACTTTTACACCTTACACACACATACACACACACACAGAGTAACACACACACCCCCACACACATTAAGCTCAATGTTAGAAAATAAGGATTTGCACAACATGATTGTCACTACATTAATTACTTATACACTTTGGTTCAAGCCTAATGGACACGATAGCCTCTCATTTTTGAGCAAATGTAGCACTTACTGGCCTTAGATTTCAAACTATTAAAATTCCAAACTCAATCCACAAATCTAATACCAGGTGCCTCATCTTTGGAAGAGTTGAACATCCAAGAGCTGGTATTATTCATGCTACTATAACAAGAAAATTGGCTAAGCAATTAAAACCGGTTACTGTAGCAGAAAAGCAAGTGGGTTAATTTGTTTCCCTGGGCTTCTTTTATTTAGGTTATAATTAAAGGTTGACATAAGTAGTACTAACGGGTAGAATTCATTTTGACTAGGTTCTAAAGTCTATAAAGAGGCTGTAATCAACTCTAAAGAATTTAGAGAATACTTAACTAAGGAGTTGCACCCTGGTGCTTTCTTTTAGAGATTGCAGTTGCTTAGTTTCATTCTTCTTTTTCTATCTTTTCTCTTACACCATTCTTATTTCCTTCTTCTTATATTGTTGAAGGATTCATATATTTAAGTTACACCCCCTCTAATAGCTTAAGCTTTTGGAGTAGATGGTTGTTAACATGGTATCAAAGCCAAAAAGGTCTTGAGTTCAAACCTCACCGTCACCCTATTTAAAAAATTGAAAAAAGACGTGTTGGACCAAAAAGAAGGCCACACGTGAGGGGTGTGTTGAAGGATTCATATATTTAAGTTACACACTCTGTAACAACTTAAGCTTTTGGTGTAGATGGTAGTTAACATATATCTATTCTTCTAACTTCTTTTCAGTAAATACTATTTGTTATCCTTCATTTGGCCCTCACTTTAAGTCATTATAAAAAAACCCAGCAACCCTAGTTGTCTTCCTTAAACATGTAGGTCTCTATCCTAGCAAATCTCAAAAACCCCTAATCTCACAAATAAACTATTGCCATGCTTTTTATTGTAGTGCTGCTAAAACGCAATAGTTGGTTTGGCTCTATTGAAAACAACAGATTGAAGGGAGAAATTAAACATGAACAACACAAGAATATAACGTGGTTTAGCCACTACGGTTTTGTGTGCGGTGGATGTAGGCCGTAGTGGCAAAACCACGTTATATTCTTGTGTTGTTCATGTTCAATTTCTCTCTTCAATTTTTTGTTTTTCAACATGGTATAAGAGCAGGTTTATCATACCCTACTCTAGACTCATTCGGCTCTCCTCGTTTCTCCCGAATTTTGTGATTAGATCTCCTTGTCTTGATTACATGTCTCAAGTCTCCTTGTCTTGGATATCCTCATCTCAGCTCGAATTTTCAATTGGTACACTTGAGTTAGTATCTCCGTTTACCAGCTTGAGGGGGAGGGGGTGTTGAAGAATATCATTATAGGAATGATTTAAGCCCTTGAAAGAATATTGATAGGAGTGGTTCATGGGATTAATTTTAGGAATCTTTCCATCCATATTTTTTTCATATTTATCACATATAAGTATTCTTTCACCTATAAATAGAGGTGGTCATTGTAAACAAAATTCAAAGAAAATATAATGAAAGAGATGTAGCCCTTTGGGCTTTGTGTGCTGTGGATGAAGGCCGCAGTAGCTGAACCACATTATATTCTTTTGTTGTTCATGTTCAATTTCTCTCTTCAATCTTTTGTTTTCAACAAGCTCGAAATATTAACAACAGGTAATAGAATATTTTCACCTGTTTAATGACATTTTCTAAGCATTCATAATGTTAATGAAAACAACAGTCACAGAAACAACACGCTCAATTATAGAGAACAAGAAAACCAGTAGGTGCAGGTCCTTTTATAATTGGTCATTTCAAAACTTGTTTAATTTTGAACCTAAGTCTTCTAAAATATTGAATTTTTTTAACCAACTAGGAAAATGATCATCCTTATATAGTGCTTTCAACATACATGTGTATGCTTTTCAATTTTGAAGCACTGAGTGAAATGGACGTTACAGAAGGGTTTGGTTTATTATTATTCTGCAGAAAAATAGATTCATGAGTTTGCTGCCTATTTGGCACAGTTTGCTGTTTCTGGAGTTGTAACAAGTAGAAAGCAAGGTCCAAAATCTATTCTAACTAGTAACTATTACTTTAAAACAAGTGTTGTTGCGAAGGCACATATTGGAAATTTGAAGAGTCACTTACTTCAACTGGTTCAGAAGAGACATACCCAATATCAAAGATATGTACTTCACTACTTTTAGTAGATGTGCAAGCAACCTGAAGGGTTAGGCAAATAAATTATATTGTTAAAGTTGAAATCCAAGAATAACTAAAAACAATGGAATCAAGTACATTGAAAGAGGTAAAGACAATCAGCATGTGCATTTAACAACAGAATTAAAGGTTTCAAATTGGAGCCATTCAAGAAATCCATAATCTTCTTTAATATTGAATAATAAAGAACAATAAGAAAATGAATACAAGGAACATACCTATAAACTTATGTAACAGCCAAAACGAGATTAATGTCTAATCACCACTAGATGTGCATGGATAGTATAAGAATATCTTAGCATGTTAGTGTTAGTTGAGATCTGTTAGCCTAGAGTCATGGGATTTGACTTTATTTACACATATATTTAGGCATAGAATCTGCAGTGATTTTATTTAATTTCCTTTCCTATAATATTTAACATGTGCTCTTTTAATATATAAATATTAGAGCTGTGAACGGGTGATCATTCTCATTCAAGCCTTTAGATATTTCTATTGTATTTCTTCTTATAGCCACACTTGACACACAATATGTTTAAATTGGTGGATGCACCAAACCTAGGTATTTCTAGATTTCTTTTTCTTTTTTCCTGATAATTTTGTGGCTTGACCGAGGAGTTCACCTTAGACAAAGCAGAACAGAAAATTAAGATTCATTTAGCCGACACCAAGTATTTGGGAAAAGCCTTTGTGAAGTTGAGTTGAGTAATTTCTGATACTTGAGACTTTTTTTTTTTTTTTTTTCTCCCCCATTAAGCAAACAACCAAAAACATTCATGAATATGAAAACAAATTATAGGATATATATGAGGACCTGTCCCTTTTTCATTTTTCTATATTTTCTTTTCCCGTTTATTTTTTGGGTTCAGGTCTTGTGGGATTGGACCGAGTCAAGTGCTTGAGAATAGTTCCCGACACTTCTTTCAGTTAATCCTTGTGTATTTTACCCTCATGTCATTATGAATTTGTATTGAACTTGTATACGTTTTACCTTTTGTTACTTGGGGGTATTTGTGCAATTTTATTTTGTTGACATTTCCATTTTAGGGGTATTTGTGTGATTATCTTTTGAAGATATTTTCATTTGGGGCAATAGTGCGATTATCTTTTTAGACATGGAGTGACTTTTGTGCAATTTGTGAAAGTTAGTGCCATGTGTTGTGTTTTGATTGGTAAAAATGTTGGGGTTTGTTTGGTGGCATGTGGATGTTTAGATTGTTGACAAGTTGAAGGTGGTGATGGTTGTGTGTGAGAGAGGTAGTGCTAGGGTGTGTGTGTTTGATTTATATCATCTTCCTTAGTCACCTTTTTCTCCTAATCTTCTTCTTCTTCTTCCTCTCACCTTGCTTCCACCATTGTTGCCCAAGCTTTGAGCTTGTTTTACCTTACCTTCCACTCACCATATTGACTAGCCTTAAGAGGGAGAAAGGTTGGGGACACTAAGGGCTTCAAATCTTGTCTCTATTTCATTTCCGGACACTTATAAGGTTGAGGTGAGTTAAAGTTTGTAATCTTGACTCACCATAGGAGGGTTTTACGTCGGGGACGCCAAGGGCTTCAAGTTTTGTTTTCGGTTCCGGACACTTTGAGTTTTGGGGGCCGAGTTCGGGTTTGGTTTCAGAGGTGGCCATAGGAGGCTTTGTTGTTCCTCTCGTCTTCCTTGTCATCCCTTCGAAGTTTCGTCACATTTGGAGCGTTTCCATTTAGTTGTCATTTGAGGTTTTCACCTCAAAGTGAGGTAGGGGTGTCTTATGCTTGTAACTTGCACTTACTTTGGTCTTGTGGATGTGGGGAGGTGTAAAGCATGTTTATATGTTAAATAGATAAGTGAGCCTTGTCTTTACTTAGTGTACTTATGATATATGCAATGTGTAATGTTGAGAAATGATATCTTTATTGCCTTGGCTTGTGTTAGGCATTAGAATTGTTGAGCATGATAGGAAGGGAGGGAAATTTAGTACTTGGTTGCTATATATTTGCCTAATCATGCCTTATATAGAAATGGTGTCAATGTGGACATTTGGGTGTATATGTGGTTATATTCATTGGGGGACTTGACTTGATTAAACGTCTATTTGAGTGGTAGACATTATTTTGGCATTGAGATGCATTGAGTATATTTTTATCATGCGTGGGTCATGGTGTGAGTGCCACTTTGGCCATGGGTGCAATATGGTCATTATTTGGTTCATGGGTTCATGGGTTGCGTATGCATGGCATACTTGACATATTTGACAAATAGTTGCTATCCAAATTTCGAAAAAGGGGGCTTGGTGCCCAAGGGTTGTGAGCCCCTATGTACATTGACCAATAGGGTGTGGTGGTGCACCAATTCATTTTCGTGTGTTGAAATTGATTTCCGGCATGGGCATTATCATTTTGCATCATGGCATTCTCATTGAGTGAATGAAGTCTTGGGGGAGTTCATGGGATTGCATTGAGTTCATAATTCATGGAGTTATGTGGACTTTATCATTACTGTGGTATTGTGGGATTCATTATTTGATAATGTGCTATTTGAGGCTTATGGTTTGTTTATGGATATTCTTGATGATGTGCTATGGTTGATACACGATTTGGTTTTGTGCCCTACTTGAGTTGAGTCGGCCTATCATGCTACGGAAATTAGAGTTAGGGAGTATGATCCCCTTCATTTCACGGAGCATAGAATTTTAGGTAGCATGACCTTTCATCCTTGGGATGCCAAGCATTTCTTGCATGTCGGATTCCAAATGACGCACTTTACTTGTATAATCCACCAATCCTACTGAGTCGTTGTGCTCACCCCTATTATATAACCATTTTTGGTGAAAGCATCGTCGTTAAGGACTCTCCACCTTCCTAGCTTGGATGGCTTCATGTTATTTCTTTTGCCATGCTATGTGTAAAGCATGCTACTTCGTAACCACTTGGACATGTATTTTGGGATGTGTAACTTGATACATTTGGCTCAAATGTAATAGGTACTTGACAAGTAATGTAATGAGGCCATAAGGCCATTCTTATTTCAATGCATGTGGTTTCCTTCTTATCTTACACACTTTTGAATGCATGGATTCACACATAATTGGGATTTTTCATGTACATGTTTTAAATTACATTTATATGGGGTTTGGTATGAATTTTAGACTTAGTTTGTGGCCATGGTTGGTGCCAAGGAGGTACCCAAGGTCTTAGGCACCTTAGACAGGGTTTTCAGCGCATTCTGGCACCCTCTAAACGCTCCTAGGGCTTGGTCCGAGCACTCCAATATTTGGGGCAGAATGCTCAGGCGTTAGCCGAGCGCTTGCAACCATATTCCCAAGCGCTCGCAACCCCAGCCCCTGTCTCAGCATTGTCGCTCCGACTTCAAATAGTGATATCTCCTTTGTTTTAACTCCAAATTGGGTCATTCTTAAGTCCAAACTGACCGCGTCAAAACAAGCTTCCAATGGTGCCAGTCTCACTACAAAATTCCAAACATAGAAAGAGTTATGCCCATTTTAGTGAGGACAGGTCATGTTTTCCATTTGTTAAAAATGCCGGTTTGTTTCGAAACCATTCCTTTTGGGTGATACTTCACTTGGGTTAGTTTAGCCACGGTCATGTCATTTGACCATTTTACCCTTCGCTTCCGCATTGTGATCGGTTGAACCCCCCTTTTGTTTCTAGTTTCCGTATTTGCTTTGAGTTGAGTCTTGTGACTTCATAGGGGGTCCTCTTTTTGTCCTACAGGCAGTGGTTGCTTCTAGTGACCTCTTCATTTTGTTTCGCTTCCGCATTGCGGACTCGATATCGGGTCAGGTTTTCGGGTTACTCGTTAATGCACCGGATCATGGGATTCGGGGCGTCACAATATAGGCAATGAGTTAAAACATGTAATAAGTGGAATTTACCTTTTCCACCCTCTGTGGATAGCTTCATCCTAAAAATGGCAAACCCAAGCATATTACTAATTCAAGAACAAGAAGAAAAAAAAAAGGAATTATGCGACAAGAAATGTCTCATAAGTTGAAAAGTATAATATAGTTGAATATGTGACAATTATTGACAAGGTTGCTTCCAACAAGACAATTGAAATGGTAATTTCTCTGCACAAACATTCTGAAATTACTTCAATATAAATATGAAGTACCAAGTAGGCAGGGAAGGTGTTTATTTTTGTTTGTTAAGGACATTACTGTGATTTTGCTTGCTTAATATAAATAGGAGTGGTGGTGTGTAAAACCCTATCAGATTCTCATTTCTTCTTCTCTTCTTCTTCTTCTGCTCTTCCTCTCTAACCCTTAAACACACTGTTATTCAGTTTAACTTGCTATCAGAGCCAAGTAATGAATTCGGGAACACATCCAAAGCAAGTTGCAGTGAATCAGCAGGTTAATCGTCGACGTCCGTACAGTGATGTCAACATGACACCATGCTGACATCAGCATTTACAGGTCGATAACCATATCGGACAGCTCGCCTGAATTTTGTGATAATTATAGGGGTGTTTGTTCTCCATTCTGATGAGGTTTGAGTACACTTCTCATTTTTCAGAAGCTCTTCTGGTTTTAGGCCCCTTTATTTTGATCAGTTTTTCTGGGGTTTTTTGGCTGCTTCCTTTGCTTCAATCCAACACAGAGGGATGCGTTTTGGCTATCTGGATCATTGTATTGAGTTTGGTAGCAAGATTGAAGGTGTTGCATAGTTTTTTAGCAAAACTGGACTGCCGCTGGGTTTTTTCCCAGCACTGTTCATGGTGGTTTTGCTGCTGTTCATGTGAAGCTTCATCTTATTTGATGTCTTTGGACTGGGAAAGACTTTAGTTGTTAAGTATTGGGTTATTTATTGAATCCGGAACAATTATTTGGCTCTGAGGATCAGTCAAACAGGTCTTCCGCGGTTCCGAAATTGAATCTACACTGTTTTTTTGCTTCTTAACTTGTTTGGCGATGCTAGGAGCTTTGAGATTTTCCTTTGAAATTTCAATTCAGCTTCATTGTTGGCTTTTGGTTTGAGTCTGGACCAGTACTTTTGCCAAG